TTCTTCTTCTTCTTCTTCTTCTTCTTCTTCTTCTTCTTCTTCTTCTTTCTCCTCCTCCTCCTCCCCTTCCTTCTTCTTCCTCCTCCTCCTTCCTCCTCTTCCTCCTCCTCCTCCTCTTCCTCCTCTTCCTCTTCCTCCTCCTCCTCTTCTTCTTCTTCGTCTTCTTTTTCCGTACTAGGGATGGAATGGAAGGCCTCTGGAATGTTCTATTACTGAACACCTCTATCCCTAGCAGGGAAGTTTTCTTAAGATGTTGCCCTTGAGAAAGATTCCAAAATGTCCTGGGTGTGGATCATTATGTGTTGTCCTGCATAGCCTCTAGCTTCTCAGTCAAATGGGTATCAAGCTTTGGTATCGTTGAATCAGGAGTTAGACATATAGGATGGGAGCTGATGAGCAGGAGGGCTTGGGGCAAGAGTCCCTGCCTGTAGAAAGAGACACGCCAGGAAGAGTGAAGGCCGCTGGCATACAGGCAGTCAGCATTGCGTGAGGGGTTGGGGGAAGGTGTCTGTGGACCTGGCCAGGGATTGTGTCCTGAGCAGGAGACTTTGAGCATGATTTAGATGGGAAGAGGAAAAGGAGGCCAGAGGTTCTGGTGGGCCTTGAACACAAGGAGAGGGTAGAGTGTGTGAAGAGTCTGTAGTGGGAAAGTACCAAGTAGGCTCCAGGAACCACGAGGGGCAGTCCGGGAGCAGTCTCTGGAAGGTGATGGGGGAAGAGCGGAAGGGGGCTTTGGAGTCTGATTATGCAGGTTGAACCCTGGGTTCGGATATTCTGGACAGCAATGGCTCTCCTTGTTAAATACTCAAGTTCGCAGGATTGCTGGCTTAGTGGGTGGAGGTGAGCCCAGGAATCTTAGTTCTAATAAGCATTGCACCAGGTGAGCGTGCCACTGATGGACTGAAGGAATGCTGTAAGAAACCCTGGTTGGAGGCAGGGGACTGTTTTTGTGCAGAGCAGCTTGGAAGAAGAAGAGGAAGGGAGTCTGAGATACAGGAGGGCCTGAACTAGAAAGGAAATGTCCAGAGAACAGAAGATCTACTGGACAGAAGTCCCAGCAGGGTTTGGGAGTTTCTGGCTGTGGGACAGAGAAGCCAAGGGAGGGGACCCATTTATGGCTCTCTTGTCAATTCTGTCATCTATTCATCAAGCATTTATTGAGCATCTATTTAGCTGCCAGGTGCTGGGGACACAGAGATGAAAGGCTCAGCCCCTGCCCTTAAGGAGTTCGAAGTTTAGAGGAGGAGATGGAGTGTGTAACCCAATAATTACAATCAATGCAATGTGAACAATGCTAGAGGTGTGCACAGGATGCCATGGGCAAAGAAAGGCCTGGCCTGGGTGGCTGGAGGGATGGGGAGGCATTAGTTGAAGGAGGGGTATTTGAGTGAGCCTTAGAGTACAAGCCAGATGGGGGTAGTGGTTTTGAATGCAATCTCTAGAGTTAGTCTTGGTTCCAAGTTTGACCATGAAGCCATCAGAAAAGTAACTTCTTTTCTTCCGCGTGCTCACCTGAGGGATGGGGGTGGTGTCAATATCTAGATCTCTCTCTTAGTGTTGGTGATGAACACCAGTCAGAGTTTACCAGGGATCTGGTTCACATTGAAGCTCAGGTTTTAACCCTGTCTGCAAGTGGCCAGAGAGAGGAAAGATGGCTGCAGAGGGAGATAGTCTGAAGCTGAGCAGGAGTCCCGATCTCATGAGAGCAGGTCTCTTTCACTTTTCATCTCCTGTGCTGCCAAACACGGGCGTTGTGTAAGGTATGACCTGAAAGCGACAGTCAGATTGTGCAGGATGATTCTATAGTGTATGAGACCAGCATGGTTTGTGGGGTGCAAGAGTGGAGCAAATCGGGCCAGATCCTTAATTTCTTTGGAGGACACGGTCAGCCCTAGTGGTCTTCTAACACTTCCCCCAGCTAGCTGACAGAAAATAGCCCATGTCCCCTTTGGGGACAATCTTTCCTTCTGCTATGTGGCAGTGGAGAAAGGCAGACTCAGAAAGGAGGCTTCGCTGCCTCCCAGGTGCCGGGGAAGGGTTAAGTCCTCAGGCAGGCAGGTTCTCCCAGGAACTGCTGCTAATCACTGGTTCACACCACATTAATTACCCAGCCACAGGGGGGAGTGTGCTAGAGTAAATTAGCAGGTGAGTTCAAAGGGGCCACTCCCCGCATTCCTTAATTAAGAGAGCAGCTGGCAGCCAGGGCTGCGACTCCTGTCTCCCTAGGGCCTTTCTGGGAAGCTGGAGTCAGGAGGAGGATGCGCATACTGAGGATGGAGGGAAGTAACTGCATCTGCTGTGGGGTGCCGTCTCAGCCTCACCATTAGCCCATTTTTACCACTGACCACAGGAAGGGTGAGCAGGTGGCCAAGCAACCTGCCTGAACAGAAGCAATAAACCACGACTGCTTGGTTGCAAAGATTCAGGCTAGGAGGGATGGGATGAGGGTGAGCCACGTTGTGTTTGAAATACCCTGTCTGCACAGGCAACGTGGGGCCATGCTTCTTCTAGAGGGAGAAGTGAGAAGGTTGAGAGAAGACAGGTTGGGGGGTGGGGGGGCTATGCAATCAGGAGAGAGGAGAGCCAGGCAGGGAAAGGGGCTAAGGCAGTGTGGCTGTGGGGGTGGAGGCATTCAGCAAACTCCCAGGGGACCAAAAGTAAAGGAAAAGGACCCGGGTGTTACTGCGGGATGGGCAGCCTCTAGATGTAGCTCTGAGGGGACATGTACAGTTGACAATAAAGATGGCAGACAGAACTCTACTGCTCCTCCAAACTTTAAGGAGGGCGATGTGGACTGTGATCCCGACCAGACCAAGCCAGATTGGAGGGAGCTCTTCCTAGTAGGCACGTTTCTCAAAACCAAGACATCATTTAATCAGTTAGTAGGAAGGAGTCTAGTTTCTGTAGTCTCCCGTGTTACAGGCTGACCTCAAACTCACTGATAATAAAGGATGACCTTGAACTTCTGACCCTTCTGTCTCTACCCCCTGAATGCTGAGATGACAGACAATGCCCATTATTTCCAGTTTATGGAGTACTAGGGGATTGAACCATAGGTTTTGTGTAGGCTAAGCAAGTACTCTGCCTAGCTATGGCTCCAGCACAGTTTCAATCCCATGGGGACTATAACTTTTGAAAATGTCTGATTGCCCATTTCTTCCTCATTATCTGTGTTCTCTGGCCCTTCCTGCCTTGGGAGCCCAGCTCTCTCTGTGTTCAGCTCATCAGGCACCTTTACTAATCTTCTGGGTTGGTGGGCTGCTGCTCTATGAATTGTTAATAGATCACCTATCTAGGCATGAAGTTTTCTTTTTCAATACCTTGGAAGCCACACCTGTGAGTTCTGTCAGCAGACGCCAAGCTTCTGGGCCCCAGTGGCCCCTCCCTAGTCAGCCGTCTTGGGCAGCTGTGGTATGGCAGGAAAACTGAGCCTGAGGCAAAACATGCTGGGGAAGCATTACTTCAGCCACTTCCTAGAAACAGCCACCGTCACTGTTCCTGTGTGTGTGTATCGGATATACCCCACTGGTCACCCCCGAGATGGTGCCAGCATGGTCTCCTTCAAGTCTATCACATACTGCCTCTTCTGCGTCATCCTAGCTTCTTCTGCCTCATCCTGGCTCTAGCTCGTTGTAAAGAGGCGGAAGGGACAGTGTCTTTAGTGAGCCAGGGGCATGGTACCCAGATGGGAGAGAAGGAACCAGTAGGAGAGGACACCTGCAGGAGAGTGGGTGGGTGGGGCGTCCATCTTAGGGCCCTTTTACCTTTGAGGTCTTGAGATTCCTTTCTAGAGATGAGAAGGAAGGCTGCATGAAAGGAAACAAAGCCACCATGGAGTTTTATTGAGGTAGAGAGGGAACTGGAAGCTCATTTATGCCTTCACCCTTTACCAACCGCTTGTCGGGTTCTCAGCTTGTGCAGACCAATGCATCAAGCAAACACTCACAGAGCATCCAGGATGCATACTCCCTGTGAGGTCAAGGCTTGTACTGGCAAGCAGTCTTGCACTGATGAGGAAAGTGGCCATCACTTTCGATGTGCTTCACGTGAGAAAAGGTTGAAGAAAGAAGTAGACGTGGATTGCGTTCTGAGCTGATTGAGGAACTCCACCTGGTCTCTGCTGAGGCCCCGTCAGCAGTGTGTGACGCAGAGGCAGACTTGCTGAGGACTCTAGGTCCCGCAAGCTGCTGTTGCTTCCCGCAGTGCAGAAGGAACTGAGACCACAAAGGACATAGAGCTGCACATTAAAAAAAAATGTAGACCTTATTTCATAGCCAAAGCTAAACCAAGCCGGAATTGAAAAGGATCTCAAGGCACGCAACCCTCTTGGCTCTATTTTGTCTTGTAACTAAACTGTATAGCCATGTACAAAACAATGACCAGGTATTGTATTATTCAACTCTCCCCCCCCCCCCCCTCCCCACACACACACACACACACACACACACTTTTGAGATGGGGTCCCATACAGTCAGGATTGTTCTGGAACTCTCAGTGTCACTGAAGATGACACTAAGCTTCTGATCCTCCTGGGCTCACCTCACTAGTGCTGAGACCCCAGGCAGTCACCACCACATTGGCTTCTGAGGTGCTGTCATGACTTTCTGCACACCCCGCAGTACCGACTGAGCTGCACCCCAAGTCCCCGTATTTTAAGATGTCGTTTTCCCATGAATGGGTCGGACTGAGTGTTCATGAGGTGACACATAAACTCTTGAGTGTTGGAGAGGGCCAGCAGAGGGCAGCCACGTGGCTCCCAGCTGTGGGCTTCCTTCTCTCTCCTTTAAGGAACAATTTCAGGCTGCTGCACTTAACCTCCACCCAGACACTGAAGTCTTGTCTTCCCTGTACCCTTCCCTCTGCCCTTATCCTGTAATGTGAATCTATAGAGCCCACGTTACTAGAAAAAGCACAGGCAACACGTTCATCTAGATACAAAAAGGTTTGCATTGAACTCCGGCTTGGAGAGAAGAAGATATTTCATAGCCCAGAAGGTGCGGAGGCTGCAGGTGGGCACTCCTGTGACGGGTGACATCAGATGTCTGTGGCAGGCAGCAGCCTCCAGAACTCTCCAGTGCCCTTCCTCAGTGCCAGCAGGGCCTGTCCCTTGAGAACTGATGGCATCCCTCCCTTTCCTCCTGTGAGCTACACCCCTGCCCCCAGGATTGGATGTGGGGCTTTGGCCTGGATGCTGACATCCCACAAACCAGGACAGCACAGGCTGAAAAGGGTGGGCATCCTCAGATAGACCTATTCTCTGCACTTTTGGGGGGAATTTTCATTCTTTCTTCTTAGTAATGGTTCATTTTTTTTTTAAATTGCAGCTTATACTTCTCTAAACTAGGGAAAAGGATGTTTTCCGTTTTTCAGTTATGTCTATAAAGACAGGTACCAGGGAATGAGCAAAGTTTCTGAGTAGCCAGAAGTGTGTGTGTGTTTGTAGATTGGCCTCTCATTTGTCTGAGCCAAACAACCTGCTTTTAGTTTTTTTCTTAAATTTTCAATCCATTATGGACTTGTACTTTTGTAGACTGTAATAAAAGTAAATTACTAGAAAAACGAAATAAAAAAGACATACCTACCAAATACAAACTCTAATTTTTTTATGATTGTATTAAACAAACATAAAATTACTGTCAGATTGCTATAAAAGTTTCTAAATATTTGCTGTAATTTTTGTATTTGTCACAGTTTTCTTACAGCAATTCACAGACTGGACCCAGCCTGGGTCACTGGTGTAGGGGAAGTGGGACAGTTCAGGAAGGAGGTGGCCTATGGTCCCTGAGAACAACTGGAAGGACAGGAGGTTTCCAGGACCTTGGCAACAGTGTTTTCCTTCCTGAGCTGACACATCTGTGTTTTGATCTTTTATGAAGGGGACAGCTTTTCTATCAAGGGAGTAGTAATGGTTTGGGGTCCGCAGGCACACTCTGGTGACCCATAGGGGTCCTCTGCCCCTAGAACGTCTGACTTGAACTGCTCAGCAGGTTTTCTGGGGAGTAGCAAAGAGAGAGGGGTGTGGTGTTTTCTGGATTGGTGATAGGGAGGAAAGGGGCTGGGGTGGGAGAAGGGAAGGAGGAAAAAGGAATAGAAGTGAAAAAGTAAATGATAGCGTGGGCGGTGTTTCTGGCTTCCCCATCTTCAGGGCAGAACCTATGGAGACAATTACGGGGATGGATGCGTTTCCATAATGCGTCTTGTAAACAGATCAGCCCGTTTGAAAGCACTTGCAAATTGCCTGGGGATCATATTGAAATTCAGATTCTCATCCAGCAGGTCTGGGGTTGGGTCTGAACAGCTGCCTGTCTATAAGCACCAGGTAGCTGCAATAGCGTTCATGTTGGGGAGCCCAGGGAGCCAATATATATGATGTTAGCGGGTCTGTGATGCCTGGAAGATAACATTGGTATCTCCTTCACAGGCAAGACAGGTGGGGGTCTGATGTAGTCCCTTTCTGTAAGTCAGATTCTGCTGATTGTGATTCTAACACAGGAGCCAGTATATCTGGGCCAGGGCCTAAAAGAGCATGTGTCAGCATCCTTTACTGAGTTTGGATGCCTCAAACCAACTATAAACTGTTAGGTGCTTCAAATGGCCCATAAAAACCACACTCAGCAAATGTATGTATTTCTTTTAACAAAATAGATTTTACAACTTTTTTTTTTTTATCAAGAATGTAATGACAGACTTTTCTGGTGCACTCTTCAATCTGGAGCTCAGGGCAAGCTGAGTTCTGTCTCTGAGCTGAACATGCTCAGAGCTGCAGGTGAAGGCAGAGTCCTTGCTGGCTTCAGGGCTCTGGCCCCATTGTCAAGATTCTGTGAAATTATCTGGGCAACCCATTTTCTGGCTGACCTTGATCTTGCTACTTTTAGACCTTTTAGTCCTACAGTCACAGCTTCATTCCTTCCTTTCAGGATAAAGGTAAACATATTCTCTTTCTGTATAAAATCTATTCATCTGTCTGAATTTATCTACAGACACACGTATCTGACGGTAGTTAGTTATCTAATATCTTATTTATCATCATTATTATTATTTTTGTCAGTTATGTTACTATCACCATATATGTATCATTTATCACCTATCATCTATTTATCTCTATCTATCATCTGTCCATCATCTATCTGTCTGTCTGTCTATCTGGAAGAAAACCCATTTTCTATTTGCATTGAAAGAAGATATCTGTAGCTCTGTGTCCAGTGTTACTTCTGGAACTCTCTCTCTCTCTCTCTCTCTCTCTTTCTCTCTCTCTCTCTCTCTCTCTCTCTCTCTCTCTCTTTATGTGGAGGTGGAAATTGTTCGTTCCCACACTATTACCTGATTTCCCACTCAGAAGAGACCCCACAGTTCAGGAGCCCCTGACCAGGAATAGGGCATAGAGGCTCTCTCACTGTGGGCCCAGGAACTGAATGAGTCACAGAAAGATCTGGGAGCAACTGGGGAGCACCATGGAGCTCTTGGGAGCAACTGGGGAGGCTGGAAACTGGGAGCCGAGGCTGGAAATGGACACGTCGGAGGGAGACATTGCACTAATAGGGATAGCACCGTTAGACACTAAGATGGTCTTGATAGGTCATGCTGTTTGGATCCAGATCGCTGGTGGTAATTTCACCAAGCTGTGTTTTTTTTCTCCTTTGCATTGATGATATATGATTGTCCTTCAAGAAAATTAGGTCAGTCCAGGGAAGCAGGCACAAGACAAAGGGTGAGGAAGGGCAGGGTTCTTGCTTACTTATTCTTCTGTGGTGAGCTCCTCAGTTCTGACTGTGGAAGGAGAAACACTCAGGTCAGGGCGTCTGCACTCATCTCCCCCACCTCCTGGCTAGTGCCCTTCCCCAAGAGAGTATAGACCCCTTTACTTCTAAATAGAATCTGGAAACAGGAAGAATTAGGGGTTGGGATCTGACCTGGGAATCTGACCCGACTCTGTCTTTCTTTTACCATGCAGAAATATCTGAAAGCAAATGTTGCTTGAACAGGTTCTAGACTTTAGATGAGAAAGAAGGAGGAGATGATGGGAAGTTGGATGGATAAGGACTGTTATATTGATAAAAGGAGAAGAATCTAAAGACTAGCCCAGACCCTAACTGGGTATCCAGTGAGTGAAGAAATCAGTCCTGAGCTTAGACAGAACACCATTCAGGCTTCTGGACTAGTCAGAGGGGAACATCTTGGATTCGTGGGGTTGGTCTACCTTGATGACTAAGTAAGCTTCCAGAATGTTCATCAAAACTTAGCAGAAAGAGCTACAAACTTGAATAAATACATCTTGCTTTAGAAGTCTATTAAATCAATTGCTTTTGCCCTAGACTAAATAGAAAATAAGAATATTGCTCCCATGAAGGGAGAGGTGGGTCGATTTAAATATCTATAGGTAGATTTAAAGACCTAGAAACAAATTGGAACTGAATATCTTTGAAACTGATGGCCGGTCCTTTAAGTGTGGTTTGCTTCAAGGAGGACTAAACACGTCCATGTGCAAAGTGATTATTTTGAAAGTCAGTATTCATGCTTTAAATATCATCACCAAGGTAGGGAGAATGTGAGATATCAAAAGTTACAGAGACACTCAGGGATCTCAACTATCTGTTTGTTTTTTTACTTCTTCTCTACAGAATTGTCCACATCAGAATTTTCAATAGCCTTTTCAGACGATAAACACGGGAGGAACTTGGTGTGTGATCTGCTTGTCCCAGAGTGGGAACTTCACAGACAGCCACTTATGGACCACTTGAACCCATTACTTGTAACTGTATTTTATCTCATTAATTTGAAGCCTCACAACGTCCCTGAGAGGGAGATAATTTGATGACCCTTAGAGAGCTCTGGATTAAGCTACAGAGTGGCAGGGTTGGGCGTTGGCCATCGATCTGCCCTCTCTATCGCATTTCCTGTCTGATGTGTTAGCATCCAGTGAAGACTCACCCTGGGTACCACACTGTTCAGGGCGGGTGTGAGTATGGACCTGTGCATCCCAGCTCTTGTTTACTGTCCAGAGGATAGACATTTCAGTTGGGGTCTGTGGTCCATGTTAAGCAGAGCCTGCCACAAGCCATTGTTGTGCTAGGTGTGGTGGGAGGTGACAGAAAAGTGAGCTCTGATTTCTGGCAGTCCCTGCGGCTCGGAGATGGCGTGGGACCAAACAAACCAGCCAAGGGGAACTTCTCTGGCTCACTCCTCTCTCTGGAGACCTTGTTTTTAGCTTCACAGGAACAGTTCTGAGCACTCCACTCTGACTTCACCGAGATGAGGAGCGAGGCCACTCTGTCAGCAGAAGCCAGGAACTCCCCTAGGACTTCTCCATCAAGGTAGAATGAGTGCGAGATTGGAAGGGAGAACCTCTGGGTCTCACGGAGAAACTCCACTGTGTATCTTACAGCAGGGTTAGTGGCTTCGTGTTGCAGAGTAACCACCGAGTTGGATACAAGCACTGGACGGCACATGGGATGGGAGAATCAGGCGGACTGTCCTGGCTCCAGAATCCCTTCTCCCCTGGAGCCGCTTACCTACTCCCATGGAGGCCTGTTGCCTGACGTCTGGACCCCTCAGGAGTGCCTCTCTCTCCTCATTTACTTATACTATACTTAGATCTCCAGCTATTGATTTTGTTTCTGGATTAGGTCATCCTTAGTGGCCACCATACAATGGTAAGGCCCAGAGTCTTCCTCCTTGACTTCTGAGATGTGGCGGATTGGTCTGTGATCCCTGTTTTGAATGACATGACTGTCCTTGTGAAAAGAGTAAAAGGACCATGAGGTTGATTTCTGGGGATGCACCTCTGACAACAACTCTGGGGAGACACAAGCCCAAGGCTCAGGAAGAAAGTCCCAGACAGTGTAGCCCTAGAGGCTGAGAACTGATTTCCACATCACTCCGGCTATAACTATGAGATCCAGAAGAGAGCTTAATTCTCAGAATGTGTCCATTGTCCTCATGCAGTGAGTCTGAAATGATTCCTACAAAGTCAGGTTCTCTTAGAACCCCAGAAAGTCAGAGCCAGAAGACCCCTTAGAGGTTGTGGTCCTCAGAGGGGAAAAATGAGTAGATGTGCTGGTCCAGGACTCTTCCAAATTCCTTGCATCCTCTAGCTACATGTTGGACAACACTGTGACTACCTCAGGGCCCGACGAACTGGCTCAGCATCATCTAGAGTGAGGGGTCCTAGAGCCACTGACCTCCAGGATCCCCGAACAGTACCTTACCGTTCCACCAGACCCCTCCAACTGGCTACTCACCTTGGACTTCGATCATGGCTGGCTCTGAAGCTTATTCAAATGCACCATTTGCCAGCTGCAGCTGTAATTCCCACTGTTTCTCACTGTTGCTGTCTTTATGGACAGAAGGCTGTTGTTCACAGAGAAATTAGGGAATTTTCCATCTTTGTAGAACTTCACCTGGGACGGTGTGTGGCTCATTGCCTAGCACCATAGAGTCAGTGTGTGTCCTTCAAACACAGGGTATGACCAGGCTTGGAGGTAGATGTACCCTAGGTGTGAAACATGGGGACAGAACCAGGAATGACAGGTTCCGTTGCTTTTACTGTTCTCTCTCTGTTCCAGATGGAGACCTCGCACTAGGGCCAGAGACTCCAGGACAGTGGTGCCTTTGTCTCTGCTTCTTCGTGTTAGGCCAGGGGGGGGGCAGGAGTTCGACTTCCTTTTCTTCTGCTGGCCTGCTCCTTACCACTTTCTCTTCAGTCTTCTGCTTCCCCGACCCGTCCCGTCCTGTGCCTTCCCTCTGGCTTTCTTCCCTCCTGTCTTCCTCTTCCCATTCTCTTTCCCCCACCACACTGTCAAGTTTTCCGAGCAGGCTTCATTGTCTGACCTCATTCTTCTTGATTCTGTTCTTACTTTCCTCTGTTGGTTCAAATCCCCCAGTGTGGCATTTTCTTCAGTCGTGACCCCTAATGAGAGCTACATAAATGCCCACCAGGAAAACAACAACAACAAACAACGTTTGGTCTTGGCTTCCCCAGACCTAGCTTTTATCTCTACCCTGAGAAGGGAGTTTCATCTTCCGTCAGTCTAGGAGAGATGGGTTTTCTCTGTCTGTCCTCCTCAAAGGCACTCTGTGCTCTGATGTGGACAAGAGAAGTTAGGGATTCTGACGACAGGACCTAGCCTGGGTATTCTTTGCAAGTGAGGGCCCCAGGGGTATTATTATATCCCTTCTCATTAAAATGTTGGTCCAGGAGAAAACTTGGAATCAGGAGAGACGTGGATAAGACTTACAATTTGTCCCCACACAGGTAACTACAAGAGAACAAAGTGATAAAATTAAATTAAGTTGCAGAAAAACTTCTCCATTAACAGGTGGTATTTACGTCATTTTGCGCTACCAACCACCAGCTCCCAAGACACCCAGCACCTACCACTCATCTACTTAATCACTAAGCCACTCAGTAACTTCCCCCAACTGTTTAACCAGCAAACATTTATAATGGACACACTCCCTGCTACCTGCACCTCGTCAAATTTTGCCCTCCCAGACAGGCCTTCCCTCGGACTACAATCAAAAGAATTCTCACGTTCATAGAATCCTATCGCATCATGATTGCTCACTCAGAATATTTTAATTAATTAGTGAGACAAGGTCTTACTTTGTAGCCCAAGGTGCCCTGGAACTCGTTATGTATCCCTGGCTGGCCTCTGACTTGTGGAAATGCCCCCATTTCAACATCCTGGGTGTTGAGATGACAAATCTTAGCCACCACATCTGGTTTGAATTTGTCTTATTAAGTTGCCAGCACACTATTGCTGATTCTCCTCTGCTTAGAATGTAATCTGACTGCATGTTTTAATGGCTAAGTTCCTTATACTCAGGGCCCGTGCCTGGAACACTGAATTGGCAGTAAGTATGATGGCTAGTTTTATCAACTTGGTTGGATTAAGGACTGCCCAGGAGATTAGCAGAACACACCTCTAGGTGTGTCTATGAGGCCATTTCCAGGGATAATTAGGTCATGAGGGCTCTGTTATAATGAATGGATTCATCCTTTGATGATTTAAAATATGACAGTATTATCGGGAGGAGTCGAAAGTAGGAGATAGGACGTATGGACAAAGTAGTTCCCTGGAGATGTGCCCTGGAAGGGGCTGTCTTGTTCTCTGTCCCTTCCTTGTTTACTTCCTGGTCACCACGAGGCAAGCGGCATTCCTCCATTATGTTCCCCAACCATGGTGAGCCTCCTTTACCACCTAAAAGCAATGGATCCAATTAATCATACACTGAATCCCTTGAAGCCATAAGCAAAAGTAAAACAATCTTTCCTGCCTTAAGTCAAGTTTCTCAAGTATTTTGATCCCGTAACTAAAGGAGAACTACCATAGGGTGGTGGGTGAACAGCCGCACACTCCTATACCACCTGTTGTCACCTGGCTCTTCATGCCACTTTGGATACAGATGGAGAATTTCAAGTAAATTTTGCATTCGGCTCAGGGTCAGCACATTTATAGGTTTTCAAGTTTTTGCAGACCTATAAAAGTCTCTTTCCTTCCATCTCCCCAACCCTTCTCACCTATGAGCTTGAAGCTGTAAAAATGTAGGCAGGATTTGGAAGCAGACGGCCTTGACTGGACTTACAAATCTGCCTGTTTCCGTGTGAGCTTGGACAAACTGCCCAGATTCCAAGAGCTTTCAATTCCTCATTTTGTCACATCATATAATGTGGGAATGGGAATGATAATAGTAATTTTTTTTTAGAATAGTAATTTTTTTTAATAGGTGGTTGTAAAGGTTATATGGACCTACTGCTGGGAAACTGGTTATCACAATCACTGAAAGTGGAAAGATGGTTTGGCCTCAGAGTCGATGAGAGCCTGCTCTGTAGGTAGGCTTTCCTTACCATTCTTTCTCACTGGAAAATGACCTTGTTGTTACAAAATGCTGAGCAAGCAAGATTGAGAGTCCTGAAGCTTATAACAAAAGAGAAGTCATCTAGGCAGCAGAGACACTTAAGTGACCTCATGTCTCCAAGTCCCAATGACTTGTTGCTCCATTGGACAACAGGACCTTGGAATTATGAGTGTGATTACAGAGGCCTCTGTAAACAAGATGGTAGCCAACTGGGACCATACGGAGTGACACTTGCATACATCAGTTCCTATGAAGAGGGTCCAGGGGCCTTAGAGGTAGGCTGAAGCTGAGGTGACAATGTGACAAGATATCTAAGAGCTATTGTCAGACTAAGTTGTATTATGGAGCCCCGAACCATGGAAGCAGCTGAGAGTTTCTTGCTTTGCAGTGGGAGGGAAAAAAAAAAAGCTGAGCTCCCAGCACATCAAGCAAGGCAAGGCAGATGAGGGCAAGGGGCAGGGTCTGGAAACCATCTGCATTCATCGGAATGCTGAAGGATTTGGAAGATATTTATCTATAAGGATACAATAGAGCACAGACACAACAGTGGCTTTCAGTCATTCTTCCGAAGAGAGAGGAAAGATTTATTGTGGCTTACTTTATGGGCAGAAAAGAGAGGAATTATTGAAAATTAGAGGAATCAGGGAGGCAGATTTAGGTCAACATGAAGAACTCTCCCACAATGGGTCTCTTCTATGGAGGAGCAGGCTGCTTTGTCAAGCCATGGCTGCCATCATGCCGAGGCGTGTGTGGAGGTCCCATGACATCTGCCGTGGAAGCTGTATGAGTACATGGCAGGTGGGCTCCATGAGGAGAGGGAACCTGTGTAATTATTGGCTTAGACGAAAGCTAAGGACCATTCCCCAAGTTTTTCCATATTTAATGTTGAGGCAAAGCCAATCATGCTGGATGCCTGGACCTCTAGCTTTCTAGACGTCTGATAACTGATAATTGCTAATTGTTGCACATTATCGTGACTACACCCCACATGTCATTTAAAATGAATTTCTATTTTCTAGCTTTTTATTTTATTTTATTTTTAAAAACTTTTATTTATTACGTATGCAGTGGTCTTTCTGCATATATGCCTGCACATCAGAAGAGGATACCAGATCTCATTACAGATAGCTGGGAATTGAACTCAGGACCTCTGGAAGAGCATCCAGTGCTCTTAACCTCTGGGTCATCTCTCCAGTCCCCCTATTTTCTAGTTTGCTGATTAGAAGCCACCTATGTCTGAGCAGGAAGGAGGAATGGGGAAAACACAGGACTCAGCCACTAATGGGTAGGTGTTGGCATTCCTGTTTTGCTCTTGTTAATGCCAGGAAGATTTCTGAGAGCCTTAGTTTCTCCCATTGCTCTAGAAAATTCTAATGGCTAGCAGACATTCAGTGGTTTTGCTCTGGTTTTCTTCTCTGTCTCTGTCCACGTCTGAGAGGAAACAGCAGCTGTTACCACATGCCCACCCCTGGGGGTGTGTGTCTTAGGATGTTTTCCTGAAATTCCTAGGCAACAAGTGCGGGCTGCTTATGTCTAGTTCTCCACTAGAACAGAGTGGTACGATGGCGTAGAAGAGAAAACACAAAATAGAGCAGACGGTTTCCTCTCAGGCTTACCTTTTCACAAACTCTGCCCAGGAAGAGGCCACAGTTAGGAATAATCTTGCTTTTCTGTTCCATGAAATAAATCAGACAAACAAAAAAGAAATAAACAAACAAATAGACCATTAGAAACAAGTTCATTTTCTTTCTCTCCCCACCCCCAAAAGGTCAACTAAAAAAAAACTGTCTATGGAAATAAAATACATACACAAGTTATGACTTGGGGTACAGCAGGATGAATCTAGCTGAAACTCAGCTGAGTCTAGGGGGACCAGAGACATTCTGCATGGTGGTCTTTCACTTTTGAATCAGTCACAACACGGCTGGCTAATGTGGCTAGAAAAGTGGAGAGGAGAGGGACGGGGACTGATGACTTCACACCATCCCCGAGGACCAGTAACGACCCCAAAGCTCACCATACTCCCTACAGAGAGACAAGGTGGGCAGAAGAGAAAGGCGAGCCCGAGAAGAGCTCTGGATAGCCAGTGTGCAGGACTTTTGGCCAAGTGAGAAGTCTGGTTTTCAGCAAGCGGTTCTTGGAGAATGCTATGGCGTCATAAAAGATGTTGCCTTCTAAGTCTTGCCTCCTTTGGCTGTACAAAAGGTGTGGAACTTACACCCCTGTCTCTGATCTTCCCCCCAATACTCCCAGGGGTCTCCTTTCCTTCAGTAACTGTTTCTTTTTGGGATAGCCCCCCAAATCATTTCACAGGGTAAAAGAGACTTTGGGAAACACCGGAATCTCAGAGTCTGTTTCTCTGGTTTATTTCTGATGATGGGCCTGCTTTGCCAAGA